TGTAATGACAAGGGCACGATTGAAATCGCAAAGCCCAAACCCACAGGTGCTCATAGACGTGACCTTGCTGACCTTGGATCTTTTAAAAATGTGTTTTTATGGCATGAAGAACATGTCCCCTCTAAAAAACAAGAAAAATACATGTAACTATATTAAAATTGAAAGAACACTGGCAAAGTGTCAAGCTAAATTTAGAGCCAGAAAAAAATTTGTGGGTGGGAGAAACAACAGTAATCCCTCCCAAAGGTATCATGTAATGCAAAAATAAAAAGATTCAGACTTTAACAAAAGAGTAGTACTCTTTTTTTTTTTTTTAATTTATTTGACAGAGAGAGACATAGCAAAAAGAGGAAACACAGCAGGGGGAGAGGGAGAAGCAGGCTTCCCACCAAGGAGAGAGCCCAATGCGGGGCTCTATCCCAGGACCCCAGAATCATGACCTGAGCCGAAGGCAGACACTTAACAGCTGAGCCACCCAGGTGCCTCTAGTACTCCCTATTTTAATAGTAATGACTAATAGTAATTGAACATTTAATAGATGCCAGGAAACCTATTTGACACACACTTTTTGTTCATTTGGAACAGCCTTTCTCTCAAATGGGCCCTAAATTTACACACATTTTAGATTTAAGGAACTAGGTTTCACATAGGCTGATAAATTACCTCCCTTATATATTTTCTTTCTTTTCGCTCAACTTCATATTTTAAGCATTTTCAAAGTCATTAAATTATACTTTAGAAACCTTAAAGACATAGAATATGGCCATCTAATTACATTATTATGTAAATAGACCATTTTATTCATCTAATCAAGTACTGAATACTCACCAGCACTGATAAGTTATTTGCTTACACTTTGCTAATTACATAGATTAAAGAAAAAAAACCCCACACATTGTCATGTGATAGTTTGAATAAATATCACGCAAGATTCAAATTAGAAAAATATCCATATTGAAACATTTCCTTAATTTTTTTTCCCAAAGAGTAATGTGTAAAACCTCTAAGCTCCCAACACATCAGGATAATAAAATGTAATTATCTGTAACCATCCACTTGTATTAATTTTCGAGTGGCATTCTTCTTTCCAGGGTCACAAAAACAGCAGTTTTGCAAACAATCGTGATCTATGTGCCCCGTAACATTTGTGACTGGTCAAGGAGGCCCAAGTTGCTCGCACATGTACACCACTGGGGCAGCCTGTACCTTCTGTCTCCCCTCCCCAAATGCCATCATCAAGCTTAGGTACAGAGTTGACTCATTATTCAAGTTGATAATGATACAGCTTCTTGGAAACTTTCCATACATTATCCTTTAGCTCCGGGACATCCCCATTGATACAGCTTCTCCTACCCTCAACGGATCCTTTGGATTTCAGAAGTCTCTGAGGCTTTAAAGGTTAGGCTATATGGACACTGATAAAATGCAAAGGTGACAAAATATAGAAAAATGGGCATCATCTCCTGTGGCTTTCAGAAAGGACAGCGGGGGGATTTTCTACCCACGGTCACAGAGCGGCATTTTTTTCTGTATAATTGTGCCTGCTAGAACATTTTAAAAAGAAAAGCCATGACCCCACATCCCAACCGTGTATAAACTCTTCTGTCGTACAGAACCAGAGGAGGCTAATATTTTTAACGAAGAGCACAGAGAGAGCAGTTGCATTTATTTTATATCATAGTTTACATCAGGCTAATTGAATTTTAAACTAATTAAACAAGAAAACATCAATTAGGTATCTATTGTCTCTCTTGTATAATTATATTGTTTTATCGCCTGCGTCTCATAATTGTTGCCAAGCAGCCTTTTAAACGCTATCATGAGTTTTCCAGAGAAGGAAACCGAGAAGGGTTACACGTTTTGGACTCTAAGGGTTCTGAGAGATAGGCCTCTGCTGAAATTAGGGCCTTTTCACACGCAGGTATTCTTGGCACACTGGTTTTTAAAAGATCTTGTTCTATTAGAAACAGCTGAGCTCGTGGAGCTCCAGTTCCTAAAAACTGATAATTGTAGTTGCTCAGGAGTATTTTGTACAACAGCCCAATCCACACCTGAGCAGGTTATCCTGAACGCCACTTCCCTCTTCTCTCCACTTGGAGCAAGAGAGACAGTAACTTTTAAGAACAAATTGGTTTCAAGGGTAGGAGAAGCCAAGCTCGAGCCACTTAATTGCATCGCTGAGAACACAGGTGTCAAAGGAACGAGGTACCTGTGAAAGTGGTCCCTATTAACTCTTTAAATGAACTTCCCTTTTCCTCAACCTTCCTTCCCATTCTCCCGCTTCTGGGGTCAGCTACCACAAGGGAATCAGTTCCAGCGAGGAATACTGCTTTTAAAAATAGAATTCCTACCCAGCAAAATCTCTTATGTGGTCTGGTGCAGAAATTGTGCTGGGTATGAAATTGCTTGTGTCACATGAACTTGAGCTGGCAGAGACTCTCTCATTCTTTAGTGCTCTTATTCGTGAATCCACGCCTTTCCATAGCTCTTTATTCTCACTTAGTCTAATAATAATAATAGCATAATAATAGTAATAATAGCCTAATTCTTACCGAAAATGAAACTCTCCTTCACACTTTGTTAGCAATGACCCTCACACCCATGGTCTGGACTTTCATACCCATCATCACATTAATATTTTTAACAATCCTGAGAGAAATTCAAAGTATTTCTTTAAACACCTTAAGATCACATAGCAGAGGCTCAGAACCAAGATATCTACTGCCAGCCTTATGAGTCCAGTAAACAAGTAAGGGCCGCAGGAATTCTTTCTATTGTGTCTCCTACAACCCTTCCCAATCCTAGCCCTCCCACGGAGTTCTCCTGGAGTTCCTTTGTATTTATGCAAATAACACAGGATTTAGCATTTGAAGACTAGCTTGGGATAGCTTGGGTTTCTCATAATGAAGTCTCCGGGTGACTTACCTCTGAAATTATATTTTAATGTCCTCAAACAGAAACATCTTTTGCGCCGGCCTTACAGGACCACACGACGAGAGGTGAAGATAGGACAATACTGGTCTGTGCCTAATAGAATTTCTCTTACTCCTTGCAAATCTGGGTGCTTCTCTACTAGATTTTCTTTTTTTGCCTCTGTTTCCTTTTTGTTTCAGTTTTTGGTTCTTTGCTCTACCCTTCAAATACCCAGTCCAAATAATACCCATACGTCTACCTGTGTATCTGCCATGAGTCCACAACCAGGCGATGGTCTGGGCTTTAGCATAGCCAAGGGGGAAGAAAAAAGGGCGCGAGTGTGTGTGGCAAGACCTCCGCTTACAGAAACTCACATTCCTGCCTACCATGGGCTCCACAGCCGTCTAGGATGTTCTCTTTCTCTTTTACAGCTATTTAACATTCTTAGCTCTCTGGCGCTTTCCGTATGAAGTTGAAACAAGGAAACGTATCAGATTCATCTTCGTAGCTGAATGTGCTAAAAAAACGTTCTGAGAAAATGGCTTGACGGAAAAGCTAAAAGAACTTGTTTAGAATGATCAGAGTGCATCCTGTTTTGCCTTGTTGGGAGAAGGTAACTCCAGAGGCAAATATGTCTGATTCAACCCAGCAAACCAGAAACAAATCTGAGCGTAATGAGACGGGTTAATGGTTCTCATTCTCCCCTGGTCACTGCTGGGTACACTAGGAAGGAACATCTGTGTAGTTAAACAGATGATTGATATTGAAAGGTCTTTGTCACAACAGCCAAGAGTACTATTTTGAGAAATCTGGCTGGATTTCAAAGTGCAAGCTCACCACTAGCTCACAGAACTCAAAAAAAGATGTAGAAAGCCTTATAACAAAAGCAGTTACACGGAAACTCCCAGAAGTATCCGTTTAGTCTTCTATCTGGAGAAACGTCTCTTCCTAAAATAGCCTCTCAGCTGAGATCATGCTTTTTTTAGTCTAGCCCCCAGGAAGCCCTAGTTACCAACAGCTTGTTTGACCTGAGCAGACCTCTACCTAGTTATTAATCACAACCAGCCCACGTTTCTCCTATTGTAGGAATATTTTGAGAGCGTTTGATATACTCTTTGTGTTAGAACCATGAAGTCTGTTTACAATACCTAACAGTCACCGAAAGGATAAAGTCCACGTCCAGCACGCGGTGCAAACCTTCCCATGCAAAGCAGGAAATTCTGATATGCCTGGTTCGCCCTGGGTCATGCTGCGGCCGTCAACATTTTCCCCAAAACTACTGCCCGTTCAGAAGACGTCGTGGGGGCGCCTGGGTGGCTCAGTGGGTTAAGCCGCTGCCTTCGGCTCAGGTCATGATCTCAGGGTCCTGGGATCGAGCCCCGCATCGGGCTCTCTGCTCGGCGGGGAGCCTGCTTCTCCCTCTCTCTCTGCCTGCCTCTCTGCCTACTTGTGATCTCTGTCTGTCAAATAAATAAAATCTTTAAAAAAAAAAAAAAGAAGAAGAAGAAGACGTCGTGCACTCAGGACATCCCAACACTATCCCTGACCCCGTCCCTTAGTCAGATCCCCCGACTCTGCTAGAGACCCGGAGGAGGCTCCAGCGGCAGCCCTCCAAGAAATCAGGAAAATGGTGAAAGCCCTGACCCGGCCAGGCCATCAACGGCTCCCAAGGCGAGAGCAGAGTTTGCCGCTGCGAGCAGGTCAGGGCCCGCACGGACACCTCGAGTTTGCTCTGGCCGGTTCCCAGTGTCCCCACCTCTATGCTCATGGGGTCACCGCGCTTCCCCACCGCCCGGCCCCATCTTACCCTCTCGGGGCCCCTCTTCACGGCCCAGAGGCCGAGGGTCCCCGGATAACCAAGCCGGGGGCTCTATCGTTCTAGAAACCGCGGCGTCCACCGTGGGGCCTCGGAGATAACGCCGTCTCCGCGCTACAACCCTCTCGGGGCGCCGAGCGTTGCGCCCGTCGGGGGGCGCGCGGGGCGCTCGGGGGCCGGAGGCCGCGCGCCCGGCCCAGCCCAGCGGCCGCCACCCGCCCGCGTTCCGGGCGTCGCCAGGGCCTCCGCCGAGGCCGGGTCCAGCCCCGCCATGTCGTGCTACTGCCGGCCCAAGTACAAGAGCGGCGACCTGGTGTTCGCCAAGCTGAAGGGCTACGCCCACTGGCCAGCCCGCGTCGAGCACATGGCCGAGCCCAACCGCTACCAGGTGTTCTTCTTCGGGACCCACGAGACGGCCTTCCTGGGCCCCAAGCACCTGTTCCCGTACGAGGAGTCCAAGGAGAAGTTCGGCAAGCCCAACAAGCGCCGGGGCTTCAGCGAGGGGCTGTGGGAGATCGAGAACAACCCCACCGTGCGGGCCGCCGACTACCAGCTGGCGCCGGAGGAGCGCGGCGCGGACCGGCCCGGGCCGCAGCCGGAGGCCAGCGCGGGCGACAGGGCCGGCCGCAGCGACCAGCCGGGGAAGCCGGGCGGCGACGGGCCGGCCGAGGAGCAGGCTGAGCGGGCGCCGCCCAAGCGGGGCGCGGGCGAGCTGCCCGAGGGCTCCCCCAAACGCCCCCGGGAGGCCGAGCCCGAAGCGGGGGCGCAGCCGCCGCAGCAGGAGCCGCAGCAGGAGGAGGAGGCCGCCGCCGCGGAAGGGGCCGCGCCGCCCGTCGTAGAGCCGGAAACCTGCGGCGCCGCGGCCCAGCCGCCCCCGGAGGTCCCCGAGCAGCGGGGAGAGGCCGCGGCCGTCGAGGCGCAGGCCCCGGTTGGCGGAGAGCGCGACAGCCCGTAGTCACCAGTTTCAAGAAGAGCCCCCACCCCTTTCCTGCCGCGGCCTGGCTGTTACTGGGGAAACTGGTCACGGCCTGCAAACTGGGACGCCTCCCCCACCCCCACCCGCTGTCCTCCATCCGCCCGCCCGGCCCTGGGGGTTGACCCGGAGAGGCAGGCCACCCGCACCCCCGAGATCTGAGTCTGGCCTCTACTGCCCGGATGAGCTGAGCCCGCAGCGCTCCTCCCTGCCTGGAACTGCTTCCCCAAGGCTTCAGTTGAGGCCTGGACCGGCCGTTCCCACCTCCAGACTCCCCTCTCCCTCCCCCGGGCACTCCGGACCTCTGCGTTGGAATTGGGGGTAGGAGGGAAAGGGGTGGAGGGCACCTACCGAGCAGGCGTTGGGGGGGCTTTCAGGGGCCCGGAAGGGGCCATCCTCCGACTGCGGCGGTGGTGGTGGGCGGCCGCCTTCCGGAACTCTCTCCGCCCCTCCCATGCCAATTAGCCCAGCTGCTCCGATTCACGAAAGTGGGATGACTCCTGGGCGAGGGGCTCCCTCTTTTCTGAGTCCTGTTTGGGCCTTCTGGGATTTGTTTTTTTCATCAATTTGGAAACTTCCCAGTTGTCCGTGAGATGGGAAGGGTTCGCTTGGCCCGGCTCTTTGGATGGGAGTGGTGAGGAACATCTGTTTCCAATTTCCATCTCTGGGGTTTCATGGGATGTTCTGGGGAGACTCCTGGCCACCCCTTTCTCTCTCCCCACAGCCTCCAGGCCACCCTACAGTCGTATATGTCACTCAGGCATAAAGGAAAAGGCATGTAGTTGGGAAAATATTTTTAATGAAAAGATATTTTTTTTCCTCAAATGAAGAACTACCCTGGCCATGCCTTCTGTCAGCCGGCCAGCTCTGCCACTGCAAACTCCATTTCAAAGATGGACTAGAAGGTTCCCTTTCTGTTTGGGGTTTGAGGACTTTCTTTTTATAGTTAAGACTTTGGTGTTCCTTGGCAGTGCCAATTCCCATCCATGACATCCCGCACCCTGACCCCCTCAGCATTGTCACCAGACCTGAAATGTAACTTCCTGAGAAGAGAGAAGGAAGTGAGTGCCCCCTCCCTCCCCAGCCTCTTCCTGAACCTCTCCATGTGTCCTTCTGTTCTCTCCTTCACCCCTACCCTTCTCCCTTGGGCTCTGATGAAAAATTGTTGACTGTAGCTTTGGGAGTTGAGAGCTGAACTATTTCAGTTCCAGGAAATAAAACCTGTTGATTACTTTAAACAAATCTCAGGTCTGTTCCTTTGGTTTCTGAAGAATGGGCCCTTAAGATGAATGCCCCCTCACATCCTGTGTTAAAAGCAATCATTGGTAACACACAAGGTTGTTTTAGAATTCCCCCCCTACCCCCTTGATAAACCTCCATTATCTCAAGGAGTCTGCCCTTCACACCATCTGTAGGAGTCTCTCCACACTGTTCAGAACCAATGGAAAGAAGTCAACTTAAAATGTTTGAATGGTGCTACCCTGGGACAATAACCGAGTTTCTAATACTCTACATGCTGTACCAAACAACAGATTTAGAGAAGAAGGAGGGTAAGAGGCTTGGTCCTTTCTTTTATTGTTGTGATTGCTTTCCCGGATCTCATTACTACCCTCCTGATAAAAGGCACTTGCTTTATATTTCCAGTTCTTAAAATATGTCCTATCCGCAGAATATTTTGGGTTATCTTCAGTGGCTTTTTGCATATGCTGGGGGATATTTAAATATCCTTAATGATAGTGGCATGCTGCTTTCCAGGTCTTGTATTTGTCACACTGCATGCATGCAGAGGCTTGGTAAGTACTGGAGTCCTTTTCATAGAGTACACCAGGCCGTCAGCAACCAGCATGGTTGGCAAATCGGACAACCCTGTTTCCCAACCCTGTGTAAGGTGATGTTAGCTTCCTCTGAGGCGGATGTCAAGATGATTCCTTGTTTTTCAGCGGCTGCTATTGTAGTCCTAGGAATACTCGGAGTTACTATTTGATGAATGTCTACCATGTGCGGAGAAGAATGACCTCATTCAATCTCTGTAATAGTCTCAGAAGGGAGACCTTGATATTCAAATTTTCCATTGGAAACAGCATGGTTCAGCGAGGTTAAAGTGGCTTTTCTTGTGCTTCATGGGACCCTGAGGATTCCAATACAGGTTTTACTGGTCCCAGCCTAAACTTTGTCCCCTGAATTACACATTAAAAGAAAAAAAAGCACTAACCATGAAATCAGAAGTTGATAAAATTGCTTTTTTAGTATCGGTAAGTAATTGGGAGAGCAGCTAATTCATATGTTCTGTACATAGTGTCTTTATTAATACAACTACGATTAAGTACCTACTATTTTCTGTTTAAAGGCTGGGGACCTGAGGTTCAGAGGTGCTAAGTAATTTTCCCAAATAAGTAAATTTCCCAAGTAAATGAGCTAAGATTCAAAGGCAGGTCTTTGTCATAGGTCACAGATGCTTTGTTTCATGATAGTTCATGGGTTCCTATTCATTAAAACGTCCTGTTGAACGAAATGGGAGTACTTATTTTCCTCTACTATTTTGAAGTGAACATTTAGAAATGTATACGGCCAAGAATGTATTAAACAGTGCTAGTGGGTGTGTAAAAAAGACAAAACAAAACAAAGCATCTGGGGCCCCTGACAATTGTTTTGTCATTAAAGGACTTGGTGAAATGATGAGGATCATTGCACATTCCCGGTTTTTCAAGAAGTATGTGACTATGGCAAGTTCAAATACGGATTGATATATTTGCCACAGGCTAGCACGTGATTTTGATAAGGTTTTTATGGACACACATCTTCCGAAATGATTCAATAACCTGGAAGGTAGAAAATGAAATTACTACCATTTGAGTCCCTCTCTTTGTATTATCTCTTTCTCCCTTTTTTGTGCCTAATGTTGGGGATGGAAGAAAGTTGGTGTCTATTAGGAAGCCTCGCATATATTTGCCTTCCCAGAGACATCAGTATGGCTGTGAAAATGCCCTTCCATCTAACAGAGCCTCTGAACAGTGATACACAGAAGTAGCACACACAATCGCAGTGCAATAAAAAAAGGGAAACGCGGAAAATCTGTATTCTCAGCCCTCTTCTCTGAGGCGGCAGACCCCATTTGTATGGTCTGGTGGTCGAGAGATGGGTTCTTTGTGTGTGTTCTGAAAAAGATGCTAGTCTGTAAAACATGCTTGGCTGTCTGCAATTCCCAGTAATTCCAGTGGTGAGTTGTTTGTTTTTTTGGTTGGTTTTGTCTTTTTCTAGAAAATGCATGGCTCAGTGACAGAATTACCGATCATTAACTAGTTACCTGGCTGAACAGAGCGCTCCGCTGGGCTTTTTCCTAACGCGGCATTGCAGGTACCCAACCGCGATCAAGAGGGTTCAGAAGGTCTTGGGTAGGCGTTCCACGCAAGTGCCCACTCGTCTGTTGTCAGAGATCTGCAGACGCATTTAGCCTACTGGCTTCGGTAAGGGTCTCCAAGCATTTGATGTTTCAAACAAACGTCACCAATGATGTCACCGTGGCAAGGAACTATTCCACTGGTGGTTGTAAATTTTGTGTCTGTCTTTTAGCTCCCGAGCTGTTCTGCAAATTCTCATCAAAGGTGCAGATTCGTCTTTGTGGCTTGTACCTCCGTTTTATGTTTCCTGGAGTCGATATGTAAGGCCCATAGGGCGTCTCCTATTCACTTCGTTGTCGACAGGCTTGTCAAAGAGAAGCTTTGGCTGCACACACAACGCACATGTGCTGCTCCTTGCATTCGGGAAACACTGCCTCCCCGTTCTGGGCTTGGCCAGAGAGCCAGCCCCTGTGTTCCTCCAGCGTCCATGCTCACATTGACTATATTCTAATTTCCTGCACAGTCATTGCCTTTCCATTGAGCTGGAGGAGAAAGAAATATGTTTCGTTAATATTTTATCCCATTCCCAAAACAGGCCATCACAGAAGCACACAGTAGCGATTTTCTAAATGCTGGGACGTCTGCCGTCCGATGCTCCTTATAATCACGGTACTGGAGTAAACGTCACGCATGAGGCTGGACACACTCTGACCCCATCAGAGAGGCAGGGTAACCTGACTTACACACTCACGACGTGTGCAGGCGGGGGTGATTTTACGTCCAACATTTTCATAATGCCTGGGTGCTCAGGTAGGCAAGAGAACATTCTGGTGGCTGCCTTTATCAGACAGGAGCCATGTTTTAGCCCTTCAGCCTAAAAGTTAGAGCACTAATGGGTGAGTATACCACAGAGAACTCGGATCTGCCATTCCTTCAGCCTTAATGATATAGATGCCTCATTGGGTGTAGACAGTTCTCAGAAAGGAATGTATTTAAAGGCACAGGATCTGTTCACTACACAATATGGTCCCAATCTCAGAAGCCAACTCTCGGGCTTGTATAGAAACACTTATGTTTCCCACTCCTGGTGGAAAAATTGACTGTATTAGACTTTGAGCTCTTTAAAATAGAGACCTCCTAAGTGGTTTTCTAGAGTCATTCTGACAGCAGACGATTTTCTCTTTGCAGTCTGATTTTATACATAAACTTCACCTTCACCGAAAGGATCCTGAGAATGTCAGAGAACACACAGGAAAAAAGATTGCGGCCAAGGGCTCCAGATGGCCGGGGGCAGCTTGTGGCCTCTGTCGATCAAGGGCGCTCCCAGGCATGGAATGTTTGAGTCTCTGGCATTGGGACCAGTGAGAAACAAGCTTCACCTGCTTCCTGCCCTGGTGTGTGGTCAGTGCCTGAGGACTGTGGGCCACTCGGTGAGCGCCCTTGTCCCTCTCGTGCTTTACCACTTGGAGACAAGCTCTTTTTTCTGCCCAGAAAATGAACAGCTGCATTTCCTCCTTCTCTGATGAAGCTTTCCCTAAATTACTACATCAGAGTTCGGTTTTGCTCCAGTGTTGCATAAGACCCTGGTTTTCCCTTAACAATGTCTATCCCACTCCCCTGTGCTCAGTAAAACAGTAAAATTCC